GGTGTTGGCATAAAGCGTAGGAGACCCGAGAGTTCATCCTTCTCATCGTGACCACCCACTCCTCACCGTCCACACGTCGCCAACCAACTATGGACCGCAGCATACGACGTTGAACAACGTCAAGGTCAGCAAACTGTTTGTCAGTAAGCGGCAAAGTTGCTAGTCCATACAGTACCGCCGGAGTCACAACGGCTTGAAACAGCTTCAACCTGTTCTTCAATGAGACATGTTTGTTCAACAAGCTCTGCCGATGTAAATGAAACTTGTGCCATGCAACACGAATACGGTGTGAGTATTCCACAGCTGCACGCTCACGGAGATGGCCGCACAATAAACGTCCGAGGTACGGATGTTGGTCTTTACCGTGCAAAACCGAAATCATGTCTCCATGCACATCCAAATACATTGGCGATGCCAGCTCTGTTGTCGTCAAAATTTTGGTTTTCTGCGGATTGAGTTGCAAACCAACTTTCAGAAGCTCTTCCGACAACACTTCCAACATGTNNGGCCAATTCAGATGACGATTTGCTGTAAACCATCAGGTCATCTGCAAAGCGAATGTTCGTCAAACGTTCAATGTGACCCACGTGGATACCGCAGTCTGCGATGCGGGATTTCCAGGATTGTATCGCTGCTTCAAGTCCAGCGTTGAAAAGCAACGGGCTCAAAACATCACCTTGTTTGACTCCACGCGTGATACGAAATCTGCGGCTGCCATGAACAGATCCTGTCTGACCCAAATACAATGCCTTCAACAGCTGTATGTACGAAGATTCGACGCCTTGTTTCGCAAGTGAAGCAAACAATGCGTTGTGTTCCATGCGATCAAAGGCCTTCTTTAGATCTAAGCTCGCAAACCATAGGTTGCAATTCCACTCAATTGATTTGCCACATATGGTGTCAAACACTGCAAAGGCATGATCAGTCCCGCGATGCGGACGAAAACCCACTTGGTCGGGTGACTGATAACTTTCGAGCAGCGGTTGCAATCGTGAGCATAACATCTTCGAAAAAATCTTGTAAGTCACTTTCAATATCGCAATCGGGCGCCAATTCGAAGCCACTGAAGCATCACCAGGTTTAGGGAGCATGTTGAAAACGGTATGGCACCACTTCGGATCCCAAACGTGTTCATGTAGCATATGGTTGTACATGCTGAGTAAGCGCTGATGTAACATCCCGCCGGCATGAATAAACATTTCCAAGACCAAGCCATCACCGTCTGCAGACTTACCATTCCGAAGCTGCTTCAGAGCCAATTGGAGTTCAGCATCATCGAATGCAGGAATCTTGTCAACACACGGCTGTGGGCAAATAAAAGGCAATGACGCGTGACTGTCATCCTCAGTCGAAAAGATGTTCTCCAAAAAATCCGCGAAATCATCCGGGGAAGGTTGCGTCGAACAGCTGTGTCGTTTTATGCCATCATCTCGAACAGCATGAAGACGATTTAGGCTGGAAAATTCGTTCAGGATCTCGTTCAACTTCTCGTTACGTCGTA